CGGAGGGGAAGGTGGGGAGGGGGCGTCTGTTTGTCCATCCGGGGGGACAGTGAGGGGGGGCTCTGCCTGCTGCGGGGGGTCCGTCTGTCTGTCCAAAGGGCAGCACAGGGGCTCTTTGAGGGGGGTATAGAAAAGGGGAGCTGTCTGTCCGTCTGTCTGTCCGTCTGTCTGTCTGTCTGGGGTGGGGGCAGCGCGGATCTCTCACCCTCCCCTCCCCTCAGCCCTTCCCCCCATGAGCCTCCCCCGGGATGAGCTCCAAGGCCAAGCGGGTGCTGCCCACCCGCCCTGAGCCCCCCAGCGCGGAGCAGATCCTGGCCGACGTGCAGGGCACCCACCCCACCGACCCCATCTTCATCCTCCCCGCCGAGCCCCCCCAGGAGCCCGGCCCCGCTCCAGGTGAGCCCTCGCTGGGGGAAAGGGGGGGCGTGGGGACCCTTCCCCAACCCCGCTGAGCCCCGGTTCTCCCCGCCAGGCTGCCCCGAGCCCGCGGCCGAGGAGCGGGAGCGGCTGTACCGGCAGATCCGCTCCTACGTGGGGATGAACCAGCGGCTGCAGCGATCCCGGGAGCAGCTGCGGGAGCGGCGCCGGGAGCTGCAGAGGGTCGGGGAGGCGCTGGACCGCGGCATCGCCGAGATGAGGCAGAAAGCCTTCTGAGGGATCGTAGTGGGTTTCCCTTCCCCAAACCGGAGCATCCGGATTTGCCAGGACAGCCCCGGCTGTGCCACCCCAGTGACTTTTTTTCTGCCAGGCCAGCACGGCGGCGCTTTCCTGGTGCTGGAATAAAGGCTTGTACCCCTCCTTGTGCCCCTGGAGCGGCTGCCATGTCCCCCGCGGGTGGCGCATCCTCTGCTCCCTACGACTTTTCCCTCTGGTACTTCCCAGAGGATCACCGCGTCGCCTCCCGCATCGCGGAGCGCCTGAGGCAGGAGGGATTTCGGGGCTTCACCGAGCACCAGGACCAAGTGGCCGGGACATCCGTCATCCTGTCGGCCGTGGAGGCCATCAAGGCCAGCCGCGTGGCCATCCTGCTCCTCTCGGCCAAGTCCGTGGGCGACCGGTGGTGCCAGCGCGTGTCCCAGTGGAACCTGTTCTGCAACATCCAGCAGCGCGGCCCCAAGGTGGTCCCCGTGTGCGTGGGGGTGACCAGAGCCCAGGTGCCCCCGTTTTTGCAGCACCTCGTCCCGCTGGAGTACCAGAACGAGTTCTTCTTCCAGCGGCTGCTGGCCAGCCTGAGGTCCCGCCCAGGGAGCGGGGCCAGGGGGGTCCCGGCCAAGGGGACGCCCTGAGGGACCACCGGGGGGGGGGCTGGGTCGGGGGCCAGCACGGCCCCACGGTGTGAAAAACAATCCTGTTTTGCTAATAAAGGTGATGGGAATGGGTCACCCGGCGCTGTGGGCTGGCATAAACCCCCATTTTTGAGAGCTGGAGGTGCCGCTTTCTGTCTGTCTGCAAAGCCGAGCGCTGGAGGGGCCCTGGGTGTTTCCCACCCCGGCAAGTGTTACCTTGTGGGTGCTTCTTCCCCTTCCTGCCCCCCTGAGCGGGATCCGTGCCCCGCTGCTGCCCAGCCCCGCCGTCACTCGCCACCTGGGGCTCCTCCAGCTCGGCAGCAGCGCCGGGACACGCGGAGCAGGCGGGATGGGGGCGAGGGGCTGCCTGGGGCCGCCGCTGCTGCCGCCCCTCCCTTGGGGTGAGCACCGGCCCGGGGGGTCCGGCGTGGCCAGCGCGGGCTGGGGGTCACTGGCCGGGGCTGTGGCAGGTGCTGGTGGGGACAGGACTTGGTTCCAGCCATCGATCGTCGGGGGACACGAGGCCAAACCCCACTCCCGGCCCTACACGGTGTCCCTGCAGCTCGGGGGGGGGTTCACGCCTTCATCAGAACCCATGATCTGCTTCCAGGGGCGGCACCCGCCAAGGGGAGCGTTTGGGGGTCCAAGGGCTACAAAGTTCTGCCCACCCCGAGCCCGGGTGCGGGGGGCTCCGGGGAGGATGTTCACCCCGAGCAGGTGAGTGTCACCCTGGCCCCCGTCCCCCGGTCGGGGTCCAGTCGGGGGGCCCGCTGGTGTGCGGGAAGCGGCCGGCGGGGGCCGGAGTGGTGTCCTTCAGCAGCCGGGAAGCCACCGACCCTTTCAAGCCGCCGATGGCCACCTCGACCGTGAAGTACAAAAAATGGATCCAGAAAACGCTGCGGAGGGGCTGCGGATCCAGGACAGACCAGACACCCCTTCCTATTTACACAGGTTGTCTTTTAATTGGGAATACTGCCCAGAGTCTGGTAAAATAACATCCTTAGTACATAGATACAGTGACGGTGAGCGGAGCCCGGCAGAGCCCGGCGGGATTGTCGGTGGAGGAGGGGATGGCGGTGGCTCGGACCCCGGGGGCCGATGCTGGCCCTCCTGCCGCCTCTGCGCTCTGTTACAGCACTCAGGGGGTGCTGCTCCTGGGATTTTCCTCCTTTTCTTCACTCCCGGCTGCTGGTCCCTCCATGCCGGCCACTGCCAGGGCAGGGGGGCTCCTGTGGGCACCGGGGTGTGCCCGTCCCCACGACCCCAGTGCACATCCCTGGGGACCCCCTGCATATCCCCACGGTCCTGGTGTCTCCCTGGCCCCACAGTGTGTCCCCAGTGCAACAACCCAGAGCCCCTCGCTGTGTCCCCACAGCCGCCCAGGCGTGTCCCCTGCATGTCCCCATAGTCCTGTGTCTGTCCCCCGTGGCACTGGGATGGGCTGGGGGCACAAACCTCACCCCATCCAAAGCAGGGAGCGATGGTGTAGGACTGGGAGGTGTCCGAGGGCTCTGGGACCACCTGGGTTGGGGGTCCCTCTGCAGCCCACCCCACTCCCAGGGCTCGAGGCACTTCCCACACACCCCAGTCTCGGCACCTGGGCCCGGCTGGCAGCAGGAAGAGGGGTGTCCCCGGGGTTTTGGGGCTTGTGGGCGTAATCCAGTCCTGGGTGGATCCATGTCCACATCCACAAGGACACAGCGGGATCCTGGCTGCGAGCCGAGCTCTCCTGCCCTGGGGTTGGGAGGCTGGGGGGCTGTGGGTGAAGATTGGGGACCCCAGACCCTTTCCTGGGGGTTGGGCATCCCGGTGCCAGCTCAGCACCCTGTCCCCTCCCAGAACAGCCCCCCAGCCTGGTGACAGCACCCTGGGATGAGCCCATCGGGGCCCGGGCCACCCCCACGAGCCCTGCCCGGCTTCTCCTGCACCATTTCCTCCCGTCACCACCTCGGACCGGCACAGGTGACCTGGCAGCAATCAGGAGCTTCCAGCAGCACAAACCGCGGTGCCGGTCCCCATCTCCCCCTCCGCAGCCTCTCCCCTGCGTCCCTTCCCCTGGTAATAAATGAGCCGGAGTTGGTGCCAGAGCAGCCGGAGCGTGTGGGGTTTTCCTGGCATGGGATGTGCCGTGTCAGCTCCCCGGAGTGTGGGATCAGACCCTGCGTGAGCAGGATGGGGGCACAGGGGGACACGGCCCCACCTCAGCTTGTCCCTGGATGTCCATGGATGGGAGGAGATGGTCCATGAGAACCAGCCCCAGCTCGGGGTGTCAGACCCGGAACGTTCCCAGTTCTGCCCAGTCCTTTCCGCTGGGAATTGTGATGCTCCAGCACAGCAAGACCCCAGCCGGGGCCAGCAGCAGGTTGGGGTGACTCCCTGGTCCCCAGCTGTCCCATATCCCCATGTGTGTCCCCAGCACCGTCCCGGCCAGCTCCCGTGGGGCTGGGGATGTCGCAGGACCCTCACTGGGGCATCATCAAGCTTGGATTTTCTCCACCGCCTTGTCGGCCACCGCCGTCACCGCCATGGGGCTGGGGACGTAGTTGAAGGGGGTGACACGGGCGGCCTTGCTGGGGGAGCCGTGCCGGCTGCCGGGGAAGGTCCCGGCGGGCGCCTCATGCCCGAAGGAGATGGGCAGGGCGGCCTTGGCGGGCGCGGGGGCTTCGCCATCGCCGGTGACGCGGGGGTGCGGAGGTCCCTCGCGGCTCTCCAGCGTGGGAGAGGTGCTGGAGTTGGTCTTGGAGGTGGCGAAATCCTCGGTCTGCACCACGGCGTCGCTTGTCTTCCTGGGCGTGCCGGGGGTACCGGGGCTGCCGGGGGGCTCCTCGTCGCCGGAGCCCGCCAGCGGCAGCGCGGAGGAGGGCAGCGTGCTCTTGAGGATGTGCGGGATGTCCTCGTCCCGGATCCTCCGCCACGTGCCCTTCATCACCACCACCGGCGGCTTTCCCGGCGGCCCCCCGGGACCCCCCGGTTCGTTCTGCCGCCGCCGCGCCGCCGCCTCGGAGCGCACGGAGGACGGGCTGGCCGCCCGCCGGGCCACGCTGATGTTGGGCGAGGATGAGTAGCGCTTGAAGGGCTCGGCCGAGGGCACGCTGGTCTTCACCGGCAGCCTGGACGGGCTCTCGGAGCTGGTCCGGCGCGGCGGTTTGACCCCGGCCGCGGCTTTGCCGCCGGGCTGGGCTCTGGGGATGAGCGGCCGCTGGCCGGGGGTCGCCGGTTTGGCCGCCTTGAGCTCGTCGCAGCGGGAGGAGCAGAGGAACAC